GGGACCCTGGGTGGTGGCCCAGACCCAGGAGGCACTAGTCACCAAGCCGGGGGACAGAGGAGGTCCCCCATGCGCTCCATGGCGGACCCCCCCCGGACTCCCGTGGGACGCTCTATCTGCCCCATCATCTGTTTTCATGAGCCACGCTTGGTACCTCAGGGTACATAGAAAAAACATATAAAGCTGTGTCTACGGCTGAATCGTCAAATCTGTCCAAATTGATTCAGATGCTTCCGATTCGCTTCGGACAGATTAATGGGTCTCCTGATTCGATTCGGATTTACAGATTCAGCTGCCAAATCGGGCCGAATCTCCTCCAAATCGAATCAGTGACCGAAGCTTCGCACATCCCTACTTAATATCTCCAAATGGCAAGCCTCATGCCTAACCTGACTTGTTTTTGAAAGAAGGCGTTCTTGTAGTGATAGTGTAGCCATGATGATATAGACTCTAGAGAATAATGTGTGTGAAGCAACATTTGTTTGGCATTATCTTTTACTGGACCAACAGTATAGTTGGGAGAGACATTAGACAAGGCATCAGGCATGATATGTCCTTCCTCAGGTCCAGACATGAAAGAAAAGCATGTGACTTTGTTAAATTTGCCTGGCTTTCAGTGAACTGTTGTAGAAATGCAAAGTTTCATAACTGAGGTTTTCTTTCTGTACTAAGAGGCCCATTCAGAAAGAATGTGCTAAATTTCAAAGTTCTAACTTCATGGGAACATGGCCCTTGTCAGTCAGGTACAGGATTCCCTCGCTTTATGTGGGTTCTGTCTGCATATTCATTCTTATGCGATGACCCTTTTTCTACCAAAAATTCATTATATGCGAGGTAAATTCACTCTTACGTGATCGGTATGGTGGAAGCCAGCAGTCAGCTGCTTTGTGCGGTGCATTGTGGGAGTGATACACACCAAAATATAGTCTCATCTGGATCTATGCTTCTTGCTCATTGTCCGTGACACGTTTCTGTAGTAGCCATACCCATTGTGATAGTGCCCTGTGCTTGTGTGCACTGTCTGCTGGTGGTGAGTATCAAAGTTGTCTTGTAAAAGTGGTAGAAATGTGTCTGGGGGTCAGTACAGTCGAGATCTTGGAACATATCCCTATTTGTTACATTGTAAAGTGGGTTCCCTTTATGCAAATTTGAGTTATGCGCCATTTTCCAGGAATGCCTGTACAGCATAAAGCAAGGGAAACCTGTATTCCATACTTTAGCTTATTACAGGCATATGCATGTATATCCCTAATTACTAGACAGATGCAACATAACAAGCCATCAACATTGAACCCATTATGGAATTTATGCTTCATGGCTCTTTAATATGTTCTTAGCATTTAATAGAATGAATATTAGTTTGATTTCTATATTAATATTTTACTAGCGTTATAATTCAAGAGAAAATGAGCATTGTCTGTCTTATTAGCAATGGTTAGCACATTTTGCATGCTAAGGTGTTACAGCACATTCTTCAGAATCTGCTTTGACTATTCTCTTCTTGTTTGTAAGTCACAAGAAAATAGAAGCAGTTTTATAAAGATATTTATCTTTCCATGTAATGTAGATTTAATATACTGCTGCAAAAAGAATGTCCAAGTGACAGAAGAAAAAAAGCTCATGCATAGTATAGGTTCGAGAAGATAAAGGATTATCTGGTATAAGCCCCCTAGCACACCTTCGTTTAAAGGCATCATGGGATCTGAGCCACACAGGCACAGCAGGAAGTATGATTTTGAGATCAGGATCATGCCCTTTCTACTTGTCAGCACAGGAGAAGCCGGGGATTGTGATGATGTCCCCTACCCACAGGGCAGCCCCAGGCCCAGCTGAAGAACTTGGGCTGCCCTGGGAGCCCATGCTGACAATCAGCTGGTCATCAGCACTGGCCTTAGGGAAGCCCCCAGCTGGTTGGAGACTGGGACCCCTGCAGGCTGGGGCTGACAGTGTTGTCTGCATGTATGTTGGAGGCTAGGACTATCCAAGGCTGATTCTGACAACCAGCTGATTTTTGAACATCATCCCTGGAGAGGCCCAGTATGTGAACATGCCACATTCAATTTAAGGCACCATACAAACCCGCCATAAAAATAGTCTGCATTTTATATAGAACATTTTTATTGCTGATTTTGCCATTTTCTGACACGTGAAATGTGACATAAACGTAATGTAGAGTGGCTCTAAGAAAGCTGGTCAAATGACATTTAACTCAGCCTCAAAATCTGAATTAAATTTGCAGCTTCAGCCACAAACTTTCTACATAACCTTGGCCAAAACACTTAATCTACCCCAGGTCTTAGCTCCCTGTCTGTAACGTGGTATTTATACTTCCTTACCTCAGAGGGCCACTGTGATAATACAATGCATTAACAACTATGCAGTACTCAAATAGTGCATTGTTAAGAACCATATCAATACCTAGATAGATTGAAAAATACAGATACAGATAATGAAATAGAAAGCCTTTTCCCTTCTTGAACAGTGATTCACAATCTACACAGGTCAGCAGTGATGGAAACTAATGACCGTGAAGTAATCTAAGAGTTTGAAAAGCAGGGTGCAGATGGTGTGATGCATCATCACATATAATGCAACACACACTCTTCTCTAGTTAAAAATGATTTTAGCAACCACGTCTCCCTCTTCACTAATAAGATAGAGACCTAGAACTATAGTATTCAATTTAAGATTGAAGCAATCAAAAAAAACTCCAATAAAAACCTTTATTGGAATGTACATTCACTTGCTTTATAATATATTATCTATAATAAAAACTAAGCAAAAAGATATAAAAATATGTTGTTCTGTAGTCATTGTAGTTAAATGTACATATCTTTCAGATTCATACAACAAAACCTAGCCTTCTTGAGTATCTTGAGAGTGCATTCAATGCTTCATTGAAAGTTATTTCCACACCTGAGTGAATGTTTCTAGAGTTAAAAAAAGTGTGCAAGGCTCTGAAATGGGAGCTGCGTTACTAGGAGCAGGTAACAGACAGCAGAATTGCTGAAGTAAGGATAGTTTGAGTAGTGGAACCATTAAACACCATTAAAAAGGAAAGAGTGTTGTTAACGCCTGTGGAATGAAGAGTTTAAGGAGGAAACCATTAGATTTATCCATAAAGTCAATTAACTCTCTCATTGCTGCCTGAATAGAGGTGCTTCTGCCACTGCCAGGCAGTTGTTTTTGAAAGTTGGATGAATCAGAGAGGGTACAGTTGCACCACTGCAACACCACCCCTCCTGGTTCTGCCCCTGCTAATGACCACTGTCTAATGCAGTGATTCTCAATATCTTTGGACTTGAGATACCTCTCCTTGAAAACAGCTGATAATTTCATACCATTTTTAAGTTTGGACTCAAGGCACCCCTCCATAACTTGTGCATTGAGTGCCACCCAATTTCAAAAACTAATTTATAGATTATATTACTTACTTCCTTGCAGAGGGGGTGGGTGATCAGTCAGGCAGGAATAGGCCTGAACTTGCCTCTGTCTGCTTAGCTATTCATACTTTCCGGCACCCTTCAAAGGATGTCATGGCACCCCAGTGTACTGTGGCACCCTGGTTGAGAATCACTGATATAATGGCAGCTGGATTGGATAAAAATGTTCAAAATTCTTTGGACTTGGTGACAGGGTCTGAGTCGCGTCACAGACTTCTCTGTGATTTCCCATGCAGCCTGGAATTTTTCAGTAGTTTAATGGTGGCGATTTTTAATTGAAGTACAGTATTCACTTTGTTTGCTTTTAATATTAAATTGAACATCATGCCACTTCACTGTACATATTCAGGTTAAACCAAAAATCCACAAAACATTTAACTTGTTTTGGGGTTTTTTTAAATAAGATGTAGCATCATTGCACTTCTCATTGGGGCAAGGGAAGAAGCTACAAGCTTTGACAGCTGTATAGAGTGGCAGCTGGATAGCTCTAGGGATTTTGACTGCTGGGAAGGTACAGGGAGGTATTTTGATCCAGGAGATGGTTGTAATTTTTGACACAGGAAGAAGATGATTGTCCTCTTTCCATCCACTTTGTGGAGAAGAGGGTAATTACTTTAGCCTGTGCCTTGGATGATGCTGTGTGTAGATTCTAATAATACCACATTGCCTGAAAGCCTTTGACAGCAGCCACCCTGCCCTAGTGTCCCTCATTGCATCCATCAAAGATCCATTGTAACTGGATGTTTTTCCTAAAACGATTGGCTGTGAAAAGTATGGATGTGTCACATGTTCATGTTTGGGTATTGGAGTTAATGTACAAAGTGGGACATTTGAGAGCATCTCTGTAGCCTTTTCAGCTTGTCTGCAGCCTCAGAGACAGATCTGCATTGATTTACATTGTGTTACATCTGGAAGATTCTCTTCACAATCTTAAGAACTTAAAACACAGTGAGAGTTAAAATGCTGGAGTTTAGTTTCTTGCAGTGAGTTCTACCATTGTGAAATTGTAGAATTTGAATGACCCAGCTCTTGCAAAAACAGCTGATAATCTCATACCATTTTTAAGGAGCTATATGCAAGAAATCTTTTTAGCAACCAAGTCCCCCTCTTGGGGAATCTTCGAGAGAACAGGGGTTAAAGGGAAAGAAGCATTGATTGTTCTTACGATACCTTCTTCATGACTAGATTGCTGCCGTAATGTAAGTGCAAGATGACTGCTTGCATGGTTGTCATTTTGGCTCTTTTCTTGTTCGAACTAAGTCAACTTACCTTTTCTTTTTAAAGAAAGATTCAAAATGATCCAGTGTGACATATGTAATTAACACAGCTGATACTTGCCTTCTCTATTTAGATGTTAAACAAAAAAGCTTTTTTTATATTTTATAGAAAAGGTAGCAATTCATTTGTGCCTTACACAGTTCCCTACGTGCAGAATTATCAAGAGTTTTGTTCTAATTGTGTTTAGGACTCTGAATGTGCTTGCTGGAGTTCCTAGCTTGCAATCAGCAGTGTTTTCATTGCAACTGTATTTTTCTCCTCCTTTTCTTATGTCCATAGGTCATAAATGTTGATGGAACAATGAGGAAGACCCTCCTAGAAGATAAACTGCCACATATATTTGGGTTTACGCTACTGGGGGACTACATCTATTGGACAGACTGGCAGAGGCGAAGCATTGAAAGAGTTCACAAAACAAGGGCAAGCAGGGACATCATAATAGACCAGTTGCCAGACCTAATGGGCCTCAAAGCAGCAAGTGTCACCAAAGTGTTTGGTAAGTATGAGCAATGCAAAACAGATTTGATACGGTTTCCAGAGGGTTGGGTTTTAATTAAGCAGCATTCACTACTTGTGACGGGATGAATTATGCTTTCCAAGGCTAATGCTGTTTATAGGCAAGAGGTTACCTAACTTCTGTAAAGCCAGAGCAGTGAAATGTCACAAAAGTCTGTCTTCTGTGCAAATGTAGTCAGAAAATCCACATGATAATTTTGAGATTGCAAATTAATGCAATGTGTGCCATTATTCATGCTCTGCTCTTCTGAAACCATTAGGCAGCTGTTTCCCCAACATTTCAGCAGGGTAGCAGAATTTTGTAGCCTATTACAGGCGTTTCATTGGTCTGACAGGAACTCATCAAGCCTCTTTCCTGTGCTTTTCTCCTGTTACAATCAGTCTAGTGTCAGTCCTGCCCAAATGACACACAGATTAAGAGTTGAGGGTGCTGAGCAATTTTCAGGCAATGTGTGGCACACTGAGGAGGTATCCTCCCCATTACTGCATTAATCTTGAGGTTGTCTGTGGATCATGTTTTTAGCATAATTTAGCGCTCAGCTTGTAATGTGATATGCTGTGAAATGAGTAATTCTGTAATGCAGTAAGTTTCACAACACCCTAATATCTAACAGATGAAAATAAGGGCAAATAAAATTTCACGCCAGGCCACCCAAGCCCCTGAGTATGGGTATACAGACATAGTGGCTCTGTTACTATTTTGTGTTGTTGTTTCACAGTACTCTTCCTGTCTGCCCTTGAATTTGCTTTGATGACATCTGAAAACTGTGATGAGTTTAATTAATGAGATCATAAGCTTTAACTGGCACTTGAAGGCGTGCAGGTTTTGGCAGAGAAGCCTCCTTAAATCACTGGAACAGAAATTACTTGAGCAGCACTGGAGGACCACATTGTCAGCTGGTCTGAATCAGGCTAGCGCTAGCAACTTGAATGGATCTCTGTGCTGACTTTTGCCAGCTTGGGGATCTGATCTGGAATCTGTCCCTGCTCTGAAGCAAAGGAGGAAAAGAAAAAGAGGGGGATTGTCTTCATTTAGCTAAAGAACAGAGACTTGTATTTTTGCCCTGTCTCCCCACAAATTCCCTCACTGTTTATTCATAAAAACACTGGTTTGCATAACTAAAATTGGGGAGGAGGGTGATCTTGCTGGAATTACTCCTGATGATGAATCCCCGCATTTGATTATATTTAACAGCTGGGGAAAGCTGCAGTTGTTCAGCTCTGTTCTCACCAGTGCCTGCCACTTGAATTCTCACACATTTAAGAATGGATGATTCAAGTGAAAATGAAGATCAGTTGTCTGGCCAAAAATAAACAAGCAGAACAAATACAAAACTGTGTCTGCCTTGACAAAATGATCAAACTGTCTGAGGAAAATTAGAACAGACTTTTTTAGAGCAGCGAGCTATGTTTATAAGAGGACTAAAACTCACATCTTTGGTTCAGAAGATCTGAGTTGGTTCTGGAAACCTCCCTTAACAATCACAACATTACGATATTTCTCAGTTCTGTAGCTATGTTGCATTTCCATTCAAGGCATTTTTCCCTCCTAATGAACCATCTTTTGCTTTCCAGGAACCAACCCATGTGCTGAGAATAATGGCGGGTGCAGCCACCTGTGTTTCTTCACACCTCAGGAGACCAGATGTGCTTGTCCCATAGGACTGGAGTTGCTGAGTGACATGAAGACTTGTATCATCCCTGAAGCCTTCCTGGTTTTCACTAGCAGAGCAGCAATCCATAGGATTTCCCTTGAAACCAACAATAATGATGTAGCTATTCCTCTTACCGGAGTCAAGGAGGCCTCTGCTTTGGATTTTGATGTGTCAGATAACAGAATCTATTGGACAGATATTAGTTTGAAGGTATCATTGACACTGAATTCTCTGAATATGAAGGCACAGTATAGTTAGGGTGACCATATTATTTTTAAGGAAATCCTGGACACTGTTCTTCTCCCCTCCCCCCTCCCTTCCCACCCCAACCAAGTCCTCAGTGCTGCTGCACACAGAGGCAGCAGGGTGCAGGCCATCAGGGAAGTGGAGTGCCCAGCCCAGCTCCTCCTGAGCAGCAGCTGAAGGTAGGGAGTGGGCTGGGCTAGACACCAATCTAGTCCTCCTGCCTTGCTTCTGCACAACAGCAGTGGTCCTGCCTGCCTGACACCATGTCACTTTGCCTCCCCACCAGACTGCACCCCATTCCTCTGCCTGCCTGCCTCTGCTTCTGGGACTTTTCACTAACCAGCCAGGACTGCCTTATTAAATCCGGCACTGTCCCAGACAAACTGGGACATATGGTCACCCTAAATATAATCCCTTTAATCTTGCAAAGATCTTTTGGTTTGGTGGTGTATCAAATAGTTGCTAATATTGTTACTGTATCCAAAGAAACTACTGGGGGCTGTGTTGGGGGAGAGTTCCATTTTTTTAAAACACATTTGAATGATAGCTGTGTTCATGCTCCATGTAAATAATAAAGGCAGGATCCAGTTATATTGGCTTTCTGAATCTTGGATATATTTTGATGTGTCCATAAATTTACCTATTTCAGAAAAGCTGCTTACCAGATATTAGGGTAATTTAAATGGTAGGTCGGGCACCCCACTCAGCTTGCTACCCCTTTCCAGTTTTGACTTGGAATGCAACCTATTTAGAATTAAAATTTGACAAGTAACCCTTGGATCACTCACTTTTAGCTGTGGCTCCAGCTTGCTTCCTTGCAGCTGCATACAGTAGACTTGAAAGCTTACAGAGTTTTCGCAATAAAGTTCTCTATTGGTGTGTTTCCTGAGCCTTCTGAAATTTGATATGTGACATTTCTGGTTTTTAGCCAGGTGCAGGCTAAGGAGAGTCATGTGTCATCCATCAATGTTGTTTAATTTTCTTTTAAGTGAATTAAATACTGGTGGAGAATGTCAGATTGATATTACTGGAAACTGACTCCTCTGTTTAGCTCCTTAACTGTGAAAGCTCCCATGTTAGAGTGCCTCAATAGGAAACAGTTCACTTCTAGGGACCATGGGGGTAATTCAGTTTCCACAGACACTCTGTGGAGACTAGTAAAAGTTTCACTTCAGTGCTAGCAATGGGTTTTGTGATGTGGACTCCTTCCTACTAGGAACTGTCCCAGTATAATAAATTAATGTGCTGCAGATAGCAAATGCAATTGCTAAATAAATCACATACACAAGCCTGGGGAGCTAAAATGATTCTGTTAACTGTGAATAGCAGAAGATGCCATATCCTCTTTGGAGGGCAATATCTCTCTCCCTCTCTCACCCACCTTCCCTACACATGTGCATGCATGTGTGTGTACATACACACCTACACGCACAAACACACAGAAATGAAAAAGCGTTCTACCAATTTGCAATCCTTTGAGCCATCCAGTCTCCCGGAACGTTAATTCAAGTTGCAGTAAAATTTGGGTAGCTCACATTTAAACAGCACAGATAGAAACAAACTGCATGAAGTGATTACTCTGTAACACTTGATAGCAAAAAAAAAAAAGACTACAGCTTCAGGTGATATCACTGACTGTGGTGTCAACCATTTATGTGCAACTTGACAGAATTTGTTTATGTACTACATACATACTCCTTGTTCTGAGGCCTGCTCCTATGAATGTGTACATAAATGTAGGTAAAGCCAGCAGACAATTATTTCTTATTTTTACTGAGTCAGAAAGGTTCAATGTTATGTTTTAAAGTGACACGGTAGTAACATAAGGAGACGGGTAAATTCACTCCCCTTTCTCCAGAAAAGAGTACATTCTTATGTAGCTTGAAAATGTTACAAAGAATAAACAGAGAAAAGAACTCCAGCCATTTTTTTTGTAATGAGCAAACAGGGATTTGCGGCAGTGTCGCCTCATATATTTGGATGGCCAGCTTAAGACCCTTTGCAGTGAACTGATGTTCAGAGTGCAGGTATTCAACAAGTTCTGAAAATCAGGTTCCTTCACAAGTGGTCAGTTTGGGCATCACAAATCAGTGTTCCCTTCTAAAAATTCAGGCTGTCTTTTATTTTGTTACTCACTAGGCATTGGCCCTGTTATCAAAGATGATATAAATATGAATCACAAACACTTGGTTTAAGTATTTTATGATGGGGGCGGGGGGATTTGTTTTTTAACTCATGTTGAACACTAAGCATCATGGCATTCTGATCACCCTAATTTGTTGTGCATCCGTAAAGTACTGCAAAGTTTTCATCAATTGTCTTGCAGACCATAAGCCGAGCTTTCATGAATGGGAGTTCTGTGGAGCACGTCATTGAGTTTGGGTTAGATTACCCTGAGGGAATGGCCGTGGACTGGATGGGAAAGAACCTTTACTGGGCAGATACTGGAACTAACAGAATTGAAGTAGCACGCCTGGACGGACAATACAGACAGGTTCTTGTGTGGAAGGATTTGGATAACCCAAGGTCTTTAGCTCTTGATCCCACTAAAGGGTAAGAAACACTCCGTTTTGTCAGTCAGCTTGACAGTTATAGATAGCATATACTCTTGCATTACACTATAGTTTATATTTCTCCAGCACCATTTAATTAGGGATCCTCAAATCACTTTACACAAGTTAATTAACTTAGCTCCACAGTACCCCTGGGAAGTGAGTAAGGGCTGTAATGTAAAATTTAAAGTGATTGGCAATCAAAGTGTGCTATCCTTACTATTCAAAAAGAAAACAGCATATTTTAATCTGCCATAATTCACCATGCACCATTACATGGGGTGTTCCAATTTGTAGTAATTTAAAAAACAATCAAAAGATATGCACTATGTGACACTTGCCTGTTTTTTAAATATGTTGCATTCAATTCATCTGATTCTGAAATCTAACTTTTGATTTGCAATTTGACACCTGTCAAACACATTCGGCCCAGTGGTTTTCTGGCAGGAAGCCAAATGGCTGTTACTTTTATCCCATTAAGTCTGCAGCAAAATGTAGTTATTAACCCAGGGGTAGGCAACTTTTTTTGGCCAGAGTACCGAAAAACCCCACAATGCCTACCTTGGAAGGTGCCAGAGTGTCGGCATGCCAGAAGAACAGAATGAGGGCAGGGGGTACATGGTAGGATGCCCTGCTTGTGCCCCTCCCCCCAGCCCCAACTCCATGGCTATCAGCAGCTACGCAGAGCCAGGACTGGCTGCAGCCAGAAGGCTACAAACAGCTGCTGCCCTCCCGCCCTGGCCCCAGCTGTCTCTCAGCTCTGGGGTCCAGGAAGGCAGCAGGCATTGCACTCGCTGGGGCTGGGGCCGGGGGTGGGAAAGCAGCAGCTGTTGGTAGCCTCCCAGCTGCAGCCAGCCCCAGCTCTGGGTAGCTGCTGGAGCCCGGGCTGCTCCTAGCAGGGCTTGCAGCATCGCGCTGGTACAGAGCTCATGTCTGGGCTCTGGAGCCTGGCACAGCTGTTTACAGCCTCCTGGCTGCAGTCGGCCCTGGTTCTAAGTAGATGCTGCTAGCTGGGAGCCCGGGCTGCTTGCAGCAGGGTTTGCAGCCTCCCAGCCGCCTGCTGGGAGCAGCCTGGGCTCCATCGCTGGCAGCAACTACCCAGAGCCGGGGCTGGCTGTGGTGTGCCAAGCAAAATGGCCTTGCGTGCCATGCTCAGCATGCGTGCTGGGGGTTTCCGACCCCTGTTTTAACCTGAGCCACAATCTGACTATTGGATTCTGACTCTGTATGAAAATGCCACTGGACCTTCCAGCCCCAAAGGTGGCCAGGTACTCAGTTTTCTCTTTGATCTGGAAGGCTTAAGCAATTGGTTACAAAGAGCTGCGTAGCAACAGGATAAATAGGCAATTTCAGGGATGTAGGGCTTGATCCTGCATGATGCTGAACGTTGGTTTGCCTTGACACATCCCTTAAACTCAGTGAAATGAATGAGTTAAGGGTTTTTTTTTTTAATTTATGAAATGGATTTATGGTAGTCCTGTTGCCATTTCAGCTAAATACTCTTGGAGTCCTAGGTAGAAATGGTGGATTTAAATCTATGTCACAAGGGCTTGGGTTTTTTTTTTTATGTAATTGCAGGTACATGTACTGGACTGAATGGGGTGTTGTGACCTATAGTACTTAGCTTGCAAGAAAAATGATAATTTTTTTAAAAGGAGGTAGTGTACCCTTT